ATTTCCCAAGCTATTGGTGCGGAGTTCCATCTCTCTTTGCCTGAAGCTCTCTTCCTTGATAGTTTGGACAAAATCTGGAACAGAAGCTGGAATTGACCAATGGCACTAGTCCCGATGTCTTGTGGGAACACCTGCTACACTTCTCTATTACTATATCTGACCATATCTCGCTGAAACAGTACCGAGATGAACCAGAAGTAGGGGGAAAGACTCCTACTCAGCTCTTCATTGCCAGCTAGCGGTTAGACGCTTCGTTTGTATGGCCTTTCCCTGCATTATATACCACGTTTCATTTTCATAGCCCCACCCACAAACAAGAACTTCCACTTCTGTTTTCCTTCCTAAAGGTAGCCCTCCACTTCAGGCGATTACGCTCTTCACGGGTTGGATTTCATTTTATTCATCATCCGTCTTGTCGCGAGCCAAGTAGAGTGTAGAACATTGACAGGGAACCGCGAGGAGAACAGCTTCTGAATGCTGCCGTTCAGTAGGATGAAGTTCTTTTCTTTCTTCCCTTACTGGAGAAAGATAAATAGGCCTTGCCAACTTTCTAGCTCTAGCCAACTACGTACCTCTCAGGCTTAAAAGGGATAGGGCGGCTTCCTCTCCTCTTGACTCCGCGGATAAAACATACATATCCAGAGCCCATCAACTCTCAGGCTCTGCAAGGCTTACACGACTTCTGCACCGGTTTTCGCGCAGCCCTTCTTTGTGAACGATAAAAATCATCATTTCCTATCGGGAGATCCCCTAACGTACGTAATATCGTATCTCTCCTTTCTTTCTTTGCTGTTCACTCACGCGATATTGCTGGATCGGGCTTTCGCCCTTAAACCAATAGGAGGAAATGAAATTCAATACTAGTATCGTATCGGATCGAGATATTGGTACGGATATGGATCGACTGCTACTGCAGGGATAATAAATGCAGACCGCTCTCGCGGGTATGCCAGGTTAGGCACTCGAGACTAGCAACTTTGGTCTGATTTCCTCGAGCACAGTCCTGGAACAAAGAGAAGAGGGTTAACTGATATTGAAACGGTCTCCCGTTCACAACACTAGTCCCCTCCCGTCTTCAGAGATCATTGCAAAACAGTAGACCTAGTAAAGCGCATTGCAATAGACCTAGCTAGTAAAGCGCAACGACATCTGCATTTGTCTCATTGAAAAGACAACGTTACGGTGACAAAGACACAGCCCTTCTTGATTAGGCGACGACTGCCTTTGGCCACCGGGGATGGGGATCTCCTCAGAAGAGAAATACCTTGATTAATCAGAAGAGACCAGACCGGGAACGTATTGTGACGAGGGCAGGCGGCCTTCACCTTCATCCGAACTAGACTAGATAAGGCGCGTTACGTTGTTTCTATGCGAGCAAAGAACGATGAATTCCTTTGTACAATACGTTTTTCTTTCACACCAGCCCAGAACGGACAGCTGATACAGCTAACGAAGTAGGACTATTCCAATCCTACCCGTGAAAGAAAGAAGGAGAGGGATAGGTAGGCAGCTCGAGCTAATAAGCTGTACCGAACAAGCAGCAAGCAAGAAAACTCCTGTGCGAGCAAGCAAGCAAGAAAACGGGGCAAGAAAACGGATTTACTACTAAGACTGATTCACGTAAAGCTGACAAGGGTAAGGCAAAAGTTGGCGGACAGAAGGAGATATTCAGAAGGAAAGAGGTCACAGGTACCGATGCAGTGGAAAAGGAAAACTAGGATATAAACAAGACCCATTTGTTTCAAGTTGAGGGCCCAAACAATGGCCCAATAGTGTTCCAAGCTACTGCTTGCGAAGGAAAGAAGACTCAAAGCCCAGGTGACAAAAGACCAAGCCAAGCTAGGAAAAGAAGCAGCCCAAGAGGCCATTATGTAGTTACTGGATGCATTGACAGGCCCCCAAGCTAGGAGTTCGGGGCGGGTTGGATCTCCATTTAACCCGGCTAAACTGAGTAAGACTGAGGCTTCTACATCCGTGAATGAGGCCAATCGGGTGGAAAGCCACGTTGCCAGCGAACAGTCTTATGATCTCATGGAAACTGTTGATCGAGCTTAATGCTCGGATTACTTACTGTAAGTTTTTCACTTAATTTATTATGATTATTGTCAGTTGGAATTGTAGAGGGGCCTGTGGAAGGCCTTTCCCTCTTCGTGTTCGTGAATTGATTAAACGGCATGCAGTGGAAATCCTGATCTTGGTGGAGCCTAGAGTGAGTGGACAGAAGGCAAGCAAGATTATTAAAAGACTAGGATTTACCAATTGGATCAGAGTCGAAGCTTCGGGGTTCTCCGGTGGTATTTGCTTGCTTTGGCGCAATTCCGAGTTCGATGTCGACTATGTTTATTCGAATCCTCAACTTCTTCACTGCTTAGTGACGAAGAGGAAGACAAGAGAGTCGGTGCTCGTCACTGGTGTGTATGGGGAAACTAATCCTTCGGGGCGCATGGCTCTATGGGATTCTCTGAAGATGATTTCTGGCAGTATTAATGGACCGTGGCTTGTCATGGGGGATTTTAACATATACTTGTCTCCAGAAGATAAAAGTAGGGGTGCTACACCAAGTACTCAATCGATGGAGGCTCTCAAAGATTGCATCATCGACGCGAATCTCTTTGACCTTGACTGTGTTGGCGATAGGTTCACCTGGGAGAGAGAAGGGGTCAAAGAACGTTTGGATTGGGCTTTTTGTAACCAATCTTGGGCAGCTAAGTTCCCCCAGATGAAGGCTTGGAATTTCTTGAAGTACGGTTCGGATCACAACTGCAGAAGGGCCAAGAAGATCAAAAGTCAAGAGCAGAGCTTCGACAAGAAGTGCATCTCATTTATTTAGAAGTTCCGCATGGACGGAATCGAGTCCGGGGGGCGGTTGGTCTACTAAGAATCAAGCCAAGTCAGAATTCGAATAGGGCAGTCGACCAGCGGAAGCTTTGGACAAAGAGCCAGCCGACGCAATAGTTGTCATTTCCAGCTCTACTTCAGAGAGATTGGTTGAAGTGACCTGGTGAAATCAACATACTTATAATAAGTAATAAGAGTCTTTCGTGAAAGCTGATGACTAGCGCGGGGGAATCCTTATCGATCGAGACCAGCATGGGAACCTCCGCCAGGGGAGATGATAGAAGGGGCTCCTTCATTCACCGAGGCTTATACTCCTAGATATATACATTATCGGCGGCAAGCATAGCCCGATAGCCAGAGAGCACGCCAAGCAGCGGGCAACAGATGGTGCAGCGAGAGCAGCAAGGGGTCTTGTTGTCAATTCTGAGTAGAGTTCAAAGTGGGTTCCCTATCTTTGTGAGAAGCCTTTTTTCCTATATATGTAATTGGGTAGTCATCAGGAACCTTATTTGAATGAAAACTCAATATAGGTCTCACTTGCCATTGCTGGATCAGCGATTGAGGTCTCGACGAGCCTTCCTTCTTCCTAGTCCTCTGCCGAACTCTAATACTTAAAAAGACAAGTGGATTCCGCCCCTACTTACTTCAATGAAAGCTAGCTCCTACTCCATCCATGAAATCCGCTCCCTACTATTTTTTTAGTCAAACGAAGCCTCGATCCTGAGGGAACGAAGAACCAAATGCTTGGCAATCCTTGGTACTGACTTTCCTCCCCCCTTGTTAGTAACAAAATGAACCAGAAGTAGGACCAAACTGAGAGTTAGCAGCATAACGTCACTCGTTTTCCTTTTTTAGTTCCTGCTCTTTCGACAGCTCCCGGTCCATTTTTTACCCTTGATAAAAGAAACTAACTACCCCCTTGGTCTCCAAATCTTCTAAGATTGAATGGAGATGCTCAGGGCCATAGTTAGTTTCGAGAATTCTTACGACCTCTTGCATCCGGTTCGGGGCAAGCGGTCGCATGTGTTCTTGGCGACGTAACTCATTAAGGCGATCCTGAATGAGGTTCTGGCGAGTAGTGATCCAGTCACTGAGACCCTTTTGGTCGGCCGTTCCCAATTTATTAAGATAATCAAGTAACTTTGACTCCTCGTCCGATGTTAAGTCCGATGATTGAGCCTGTGACGGGCCTACAATATCTCCTGCTCCGGGAGCGTTCACCGAATCCACTCGTCGCCTTACCGAAGAAGGCCCGACGTCGTCTCTGCGATCAGCGCTCCTTTTTCACTATATAACCATACTTAGTTAGAGTTAAGTTTCAAAATGAGTGATTTTTGATTTGGAGAGAGGGAAAAGAATGAAAAGAGATCATCCCAACACAACAGGTGACCGGGAAATCCACAGGTTCGATAGAATGGAATGGTCCAGCAAAGTGAACGAAGTCCTATGTTCACTTCAGTAGTCCCCTTCAAAAGCGGCTTCCCGAAACACGGAACAAATCCTATTCGCGAATCGGCATGCTGCTAGTTAACCAAGGTTCACTTCAGCTATGGTGCCAAATCCATTGCATTGCTTTGCCATCTTAGCAGCTTTCTTCTCACAGGTGCGGTAGCAATACCTAAAAAATAGAAATGAGTGTGGCGGGGCAGGAAACTACCTCGCGTCTTGTCGAAACAAGGCGTGGAAGGAGATTTTTCTAAAAAAATGGCTTTCCATCGCGCGTTGTTTGATAAGTTGATTACCCTGAGGGTGGCTCGCTCAGTGCTTACGAACGAAAAAATGTTTGTCGATTAGGTGCGGAATACCTAATTCACTGGAGGACCTCTGAAAGGGCTTTCTAGTTGATCACTAACCTTGGCATTCTCCTTTCGTGCTCATTTCTGTTAGTGACGTATTTTGGAGCGCTGAACCATGGACTCTTACTTGGCTTAATTAGGCCCTTCTTCAAGAAATCATCCATTTATTTCTGATTCAACTTTCTCAAATGTATTAGTTCGATCCATTAGGTTCTTCGATTTGTTCGGAAAAGAAACGAGAGCCAAGAAAACATCTTTGATTACGATTAAAAGGAACAATCTCAAATAGACCAAGATCCAATTTCGGGTCATTTCTTGGTGAACATAATCTGCCATAATCTCTTCGATCCCTTCATTTATGTGCCAGAATAAAGAGAGATTTGGTAGGAAAGTGGAAGAGACTTTTTTGTATATGATAATCAAAGGGAGTGGGAAAGCTGCAGTAATTCTTTGGAAAAGCCCGGTTCTCTTTATCTTCGAGCTTTCATTCCTCAATCCACTGTTTCGTTCCTTCATATACCTCCCCACCAATAGATAGAGACAAATGGGAATAACCGAACCACGTCTACAAAATGCCAGTACCATGCAGCTGCTTCAAAGCCAACGTGATGCTCCTTGGTCAGATGACCAAGATATTGGCGAATACCACATATGATCAAGAAAAGAGTACCTATAATCACATGAAAACCATGAAAGCCAGTTGCTAAGAAAAAGGTAGAACCATAAATACTATCCGAAATAGTGAAGGGTGCTTGATAATATTCCATTCCTTGAAAGCCAGTGAATACTAGAGCCAGTGAAACGGTAGCTACTAAAGCGTAAACTGCTCGTTTTTCCTTCCCCGCGAGTATAGCATGATGAGCCCAAGTTACGGCAGCTCCGGATGAAAGGAGAATAGGGGTATTAAGAAAAGGGATTTCCCGAGGATCTAAAACCCCAATCCCTTTTGGGGGCCAAATACCCCCGATCTCTACCGTAGGTGCCAAAGAAGAATGAGAAGAAGCCCGAAAAAAAGCAAAAAGGAACATAACCTCCGATACGATGAACGGAATAGAACCATATCGAGGTCCTAATTGTACGACTTTGGTATGATGTCCCTCCAACGTGGATTCACGTAGAACATCGCGCCACCATACAAACATGGTATATACGATAAATATGAGGCCCAAACTGAGAAGTGTTGCACCCCCTTGAAATGGGTGCATGTACATCACACCTCCTACGGTGGTTGCCAAAGCTCCGAGTGAACCCGAAATAGGCCATGGACTTGGATCTACCAAATGATAAGAATGCCTCTGAGATTCAATCATAAACCACTTATACTCGGTTGTATGTCAACCTCCCCTTCACCCCCAAAAGTGGTAAAGAAGTATTTTGGGTCTAATTATCTTTCTATCTGACAGGACGGAAGGGATGGTTCTTTCATTGCATTGATAGAAGTAGAAGTCTAACTAGAATCTCTCTATTACTTTGAGAAGAGAATCGTTGGTTTGACCGACGAACTACGTGGGAGAAAGAAATAAGAAAAAAAAAGAAAGAAGGGGGTAGATTTAGGCTCCTTCCCTTCCACTGCATAGCTGCGCTAGCAGGTACTACGAGCCCTCTGTCCCACGCATCTAACCAGCTCGCGTGGTTCACCGGTTCCACCGAAAACTCTCATTTGTTGAAGCGGAGCATAGTGCGCTTTAGGCGCCGAGCGAGAAACGTCTCTTTCTTCTTTCGTTTCGGTTTATTCACTGATCTGAAACTTAGCACTTGTTTTCTTATTGATTCTAGGGGCGGCGGCGTTCTTAAATGGAACAAGCAACGGAATTAGCGCTCTAGCGCGAAAGCCCCCACTTAGTTTAAGGCGTTAGTACGAACAAGCCCGCTACGAATAAAGGCGCCCGTTAGCGAAAGCCCCCACTTAGTTTAAGGCGTTAGTACGAACAAGCAACGGAATTAGCGCCCGTTAGCGAAAGCCCCCACTTAGTTTAAGGCGTTAGTCACGAACAAGCCCGCTACGAATAAAGGCGCCCTAGCGCGAAAGCCCCCACTTAGTTTAAGGCGTTAGTCACGAACAAGCAACGGATGAGCGCTCTAGCGCGAAAGCCCCCACTTAGTTTAAGGCGTTAGTACGCGCAGCCGTTTTCTTGCTGCAGCCGTTTGATTGCTGCTTTAGTTGGATTGCTGCTTTAGTTTGATTGCTGCTTTAGTTGGATTGCTGCTTTAGTTGGATTGCTGCAGCCGTTTGATTGCTCGGTGCTTGTTGTGCGTTAGTCGCACAGGAACAAGCAACGAGCAAGAAAGGCTCCTTCCTTGAGGAGAGTATTCGCAAGAGTTTCTTGACGAAGTCGACAGCCGGTTGGAGCAAGCCCGAGAAATAGATCGGGTTCGTGACAACGAACGTGCTCGACTACGGGAGGAGCTTGATGCCCAAATGGCACCTTTTATTCAATTCAGGCGGCCGAGCTCGCAGCTGAAAGTCGGGCGAAAGCCGTCGAAGTTCCAACGTTGCTTAGTCAACAAATCCAGGCCCAAGAAAAGAACACTGTGGGACGAGGTGCGCAGCGAGAAGAAATAAGGGTCTATCAAAAAAAAAGAAATAAGGGTCGAAGTTTAAACCGCTCACAGTAGTTCTTTTTTTGGTTATCTTTCCGGTTATCCGCTCACAGTAGTTCTACCTAATAAAAAAAAGAATAAATTGATTGGATACCGTTTGTGGGATTAATTGATTGGATACCGTTTATGGTATTAATTGATTGGATACCCAAGAACCATAATCTTTACTAGGAACAGCTTCTACGACAATAGGCGTAAAGGCATGATTAGTTCCACAAATCTCACTGCACTGACCATAGTAAACCCCTTCTCGTTGTACCGAAATAGAGATCTGATTTAAACGACCAGGTACAGCATCACATTTGACACCTAAGGAAGGTACAGCCCAACTATGAGGTACATCAGCAGGTGTTACAATAATACGTAGATGAGTTTTGGCTGGTACAACCACTCTATTGTCCACTTCTAATAAACGTGATTGACCCAATTCTAGATCATCTTCTGGAATCGTATAACTGTCAAAAGTTAGTGACTGTTCATCGGAACTGTTATAGTCTGAATACTCATAAGTCCGATACCATTGATGTCCAATAGCTTTGATAGTAATGGCTGGATCTACTACTACCTCGTCCATTGAGTATAACAGAGCAAATGATGGTATAGCAATGAACATCGGGATGATACTAGGAAATATGGTCCGAAGAATCTCGATAGTAGTTCCATGAACAATCCTTTGCGGGATTGGATTTTTTTGATAGTTGAAATGCCATAAAGCGCGAACCAAGATCCGTGATACGAAAACCAAAATCAGAATGAGGAAGAAAAAGATATCGTGATGTAAGTCTATTATTCCTTGCATCATAGGTGTTGCTGCGTCTTGAAACCCTAATTGCCATGGTTCCGCTGCATCACAAGAAGAATTCGTTAATAATTGATTTAGAACAATAACAATCATTTGCTTTGGTTCATTATTTGACTGCTCTGCTCCCAAAAGGAGAGACTTTCTTTTTCTTGCTTGCTCTCCCAATTCAGGAAGACGGAAATCGCCAGTTGGGTTTACCAACCAAGAAAGACATGGGAAAAGAAAGATGCACAAAGGAAAGAACTCATTTCTCAGGAGAAATATACCTAGACCGACCTGCTAATTCCATAAAGACCTAGCTAAGAGACTTTACTGAATGACTTGATCGATCGTACTAGATAGATAGTCTCAGATAGACCATAATCCTTTCATACGCTATTTTTGATCCAATCTCGCACTTGGTCTGATCCTCTTTATTGATGTTCCCTCACAGACCCATTATGTAACCTTCTCTTATTACGACGTTTCTTTCTTGATTGAATACATCATTGATTGAAACAATCATGCAAGAGGTCTGCTACGTCAATTGCGTGCGTAAGGAGTTGGACAGAGAGAACGGCACCATGTGAGATTCTCATCCCTACTCCTTCGATTAATGGTCTTGATGTCAGCCCTCTTCCTATAGATCTGGGATGGAGGGACGCAAGATAGAGCAAGAGGTTTTTTGATCGCCCTTTTGAATAGGCAACTTTTACATACGGGAACTTACGAATAATGATTCTCTTTGACAGGAACTTGCTGATAAGAGACTCTCTTCGATGCAACTCAAAGGAAGTCGCTCCAGGAGTCCAGAGAGCAGCCAGATGTTACGGTCGGAACTGACTAGCGTGACCGGAACCTCTGAGGATAGAAAGCCCGCTGCTTACCAGATTATGCTAGCAACTTCACACCGACAGAGAGCAAAGATAAGGCGGAATGGAGACCATCGGTCGCCGCGCCGGCTCAAAAAGAAAGGTTCTTACTCCGAGAAGACTTACCCAAAAGAGCCAAAGCGTTCAGGTCAGCAACTCGACCTTCGCCTACTTCGGAAGGATCCAATGAAAGTGGGCCCAATTGCTTGAACATAGAACCTTTGTATCCGAGAGTAGACCTGTCCATAACGGAAATCCGGAACCTGAATCAAGGATTGGTACCTTGTACTCAAGACCTTTCTCAGCAAGCCAGTCATAGACCTTCCATAGAAGACCAAATTGAACCAACTGAGGGTCAGTTTTTTTGACCTTCCAGGACCGGTTCACAACCGGAGCTTCGAAGAAATCTTGGATGGTTACGTCGGGTGACCAGGCCGTAAGCCAATACCAACGGACATAAGCTAGCCACTGTTTAACCCAAGCCCGCAGAACAGTCCACTCATGTAAGTATTCCAGACCGTCAATCTTAAGATCTGGAAATAACTTAATATCGAGCGGTTTCGTTCTTTCCCTTAAGAAGGCCACTAAGACCCCCCTAAGGTATGGGTCGAGGGGTCTACCACGCCCTAGCCATATTTCTAACGGCATAGAGCGCTTGTAGAACATAGAAAGCAGCTTACCGAGTTTGCTATACTTCCTATGAGGGAATTTACTAATGGTTCTATAACCAAATCCACCAATCCTTTTCCAGGGTTGTAAACCTTTTGACTGGATATGTCATATGGATTGACATTCACCCGTAAGGGTGATGATAGTTCATAAGGCAGTTCAAGGAGATGGGTGACAAATCCACCGTCACTGAACGTGCATAGAAACGTTTAGCAAATTCCAGACATCCATTATCAGATATCAGAGATTAATGATTTGGATGTTGATATTGGAATATAAACCTCTGACCGGCTTGTTTGCTTGCTTGCCTACTCTGAACCCTTATCCTTGAACTCTGAAAGCACTCTACTGAACTTTCAGACGTCTTATAACGGATTATAATCCACTTGCTCTCTCCTACTCTACTCTCTAGGAACAGATGATAAGAGATCACTAGGGAATTGAACCGCTAGTAACGATTCCTTCTGATATGATTCTGATTCAATCGGATGCTTATCCGGGCATCGAATTTCATTTTTTGATAGCTAGACTAGTTGCATGGGAACTTCCTCGATTAAAGACTGATTTTAATAGCCCTTTTAAGGGGATCCCTCTCTCAGTCAGTCAAGTCGGAATCGAGTTCATACAGAAATAGTCTTTTCAACTCAGCTTTTCAGCATTCATTCCAAGTCTTGGAAATCGTATATCCCGGGTTTAGTCATTGCTCTTCATTCGCCTAGTTGTCCCTGAAGGGAATGTGTAAGCGAAGCGTCCCCCCTTTGACTCCCTTCTTCTGCTTTCTTTCCATTTAGTGTGCAAAGTGTTCCGTATATGGCTAAGTGTCCATTTTCTTCGTGGTGAAAGAGCCCTTAGGGAAATAAATCTTCCTATCCTTGATTGAGGGCGGACTCGACTTCATGTCCAATTTGATCCTTGCAAGCAGTCCCATTCTTGTTATCGTAAGCTTTCTTGTGGTAAGCGGCTTTTCCTTTAGTTCTTTTGTGCTCGCCTTACCTTATTGTGCTTTGCATCTTTCTCTTTTTCGTAAGCCTTGATGAAACCGTTGCGAATGCTACAATAGCTTCGCCTTAAAGTCATCAAAGCTGATATAGGTTGTGCTATTAGTGATTGTGGTGACGAAAGCGGTGGTAATCCGGCATAAATAAACAGATCCTTGTGTGAGACCACAGAATTGATTGCAATGAGAGCTTACTTGAGTGTGCATACATAAGTATGTGGCCATGGGCTGATTGCCCTTTTTTAAGTTAAGGTCTGAAGTGGAAGCTTTCGAGCCCCTTTCTACAAAATCTCTGATCAAGGAATCGCTTTTCTAAGGCTACAAAAACATCTCGTGCAGTTGGTAGATCATGCACTTCCTGTAAAATATCCCGCGTAAGAGTGGCATTAGTGGATGACTGTTTTTTCGAATAGGTTATAGAAGAGAGAATAGGCTCTAGGACTGATCACTTTCCTGTGTCCTGTGGGGGGAGGCCCTATTCATTACGCGATCCTTAAGTCCTACCTTACCTGACTAGAAAGCCTTTAGCGCAGTACTGTTACCCAAGAAAGTAGAATAGATTCGATTAGTAGCCAGCCATCTTATCAGGCTAGGTGGGACCCACCGTTCTGCTTACAGCCTTGAGAATCAATTTGCATTCTGACTGCCTATCCGAAGCTGAGTTTTGGACCAATAGCGAAACCTATCGACAACTTTATACACAGAAAGTGTTGACCTTTATACTTCAAACTAGTTATATTTGAGCCATAATACCTACAGGAAAGCACATTGAGAGGTGTCAGTTCCTTAGAGAAAGGACCCTATTCTCTCTCTCTAGAATATAGATGCTAGTAAAGCTACTGTCGCTCTCAACTCTAGAATCTGTCTAAGTACCCCTTTCAATCGGATCGAAGGTCGCTAGCGAGCGAGTCCTACTGAATAGCCCAGAACATGGAATACCAATCTCAACAGAAAAAGAGTCTTTTCTTTGTCTTCAGCGCTACGTGTCTTTCCCTCCTTTGTATGCTTAGGGTGCCTCCCTCCCCCTCGCTATTCACCTCCCGCAGACCAAGACTCCAACCGAAGCACATACCAGGGAATTAGTAGTCGGAGAATTGGTGGTCATAGGATCGGTACATCGGTGTGGGTACAATGATTTTTATGGGCTTGTAAATGGAATTGGTGTAAATTCAGTTCGGCAGGGTCACCGAACGAGCGTCGCTTCTTAGCTTGCCCAAGGATGCTAGCCATATCACCCAACAATTTAGCACCTTCTAACATTTCTTTAGGAAATCGCTTAGCTATATCTCTTACCGTGTTTATGTCGGCTTAGATCCTAATCTAATATTCCCGACCCCTACTCCCATAATGCTGACCTTAGCATGGACGAGGACTACCGAGACAACAGAAAGCCTAACGTAATTCGAATGGGCAATGGTATGAATCGTTACGTAACACCTAAAGCACGCTTCTTTAATACCTTATACCTTTGCCCCCTTGAAGGAAGTTCCTGGAATCCATAAGCAAGTGCTTGGTAGGCCAACAGCCCAGTGAACCCTTTTTGTATGGTTCGGAGCTGTAATGCCAATCTCTTGCCCTTCTTTCGAGGCATACCACCTAAACCTCGAATCAAAACCTTTGGATCCTTCTACCTATACCTAAGAAAGAACCAAGGCATGGCTGTCAAATCAAAGGCCGTACGATCCGTATCCGTGAATAGAGGGACAAATGCCACAGAAGAAGGAAAAGTAGCTGCTCTCGAATGCCCTCTTGCTGCTTGAAAAGGAGCTCATGACATAAACTGACACTATTCAATGTCTCGAGTAGGCCAATTGCCTTTCTTACCTTTGCTTTGCCATCTCGTGAGTAGCTGTTAGATGTGTCCTTCCCGATCTTAGCATGCCCAGAATCTGTTGCCATGCACACCGCAATCAACAGGTAATCCCGCATCTGATAAGGCAAGTCGAATCGCTGGGGTACTTTTGGCCATATATGCAGGCAGATGCCAGAAGGTATGTCCGCAAATGGGATAAGTGCCAGCGACACTCGAAGATGATACACTCACCGGCGGAAGAACTCCATCCGATTTCGAGCCATTTGCTATGTGGGGGATGGACATAGTGGGACCTCTTCCCAAAGCAACAGGAGGTCGGGAATATTTACTGGCTGCCACAGACTATTTAACTAAGTGGATCGAGGCCGTTCCACTAGCCAAAATCAGAGAACAGGAGGTGCTCTCACATGAATTTGACCACCTCATATGCCGATTTGGGATCCCGTACGCGGTCATCACTGACAACGGTAAGCAATTCAAAGGAAGGAAGGTCTTGGCATTCTGCAAGGAGCATGGGATTTTGCAGCAGGCCTCAACTCCGAGGTACCCACACCACAGGGGAACGGGCAAGCCGAGGCATCAAACGATCCTCGATAACTTGAAGAGCAGCAAAGCCCACAGAAAGTGCGTTTTTTTAGAAATTCCATTTTCTAACTAAGAAAGCAGTCTACTCATGTACTCTAGCTTCGCTAATGAGATAAGGTAGTTGGCTTACTTGCTTGTTAGAGGACAGGTAGTTTACTACTTGCTGTTGTTAGAGTTCAATCATCTCCTGTTCCAGTAACCGGTGCTAGTGGTAGTAGGAGTTCTTGGTCAACTATCATTGGTGATGCAGAAGAGGATTGAGGGAAAAGAGGATTACAATAAAGCTAGTAAGGCAAGGTGCGTAGCGGGAATGACTAGTCCCGCACCCACGGACATCAGGAAGAGAATCGGTTGTTGATTGAATCAAAATAGGTTGGGATTAACTGCCATATTTCGTACATCTCTTTTTGTGTATATAAAGAAATCAAAATGCTTTCTTCTTGTGTGATACAAGAAAGACCTCGAGACTGACTAGTAGTGCAACTTCTCTTCTTTTTCCAAGGATTCGGTTAGTGTGCATACACTTCATCTTTACTTAGGTGATTTTTTTGATGGAGATATCGCTTTTTCCTTTCTTTCTGTCTAATCGCTGAATTGAGTGATATAGTCCTCAATCCTCTCCCAGCAAGAATACGTATGCTGCAATCAAACGGATAGGATGTAATCAGTTCAGTTCGAAGACATGAAGTTCAGTGAAATCTGTCTGTACAGTAACTGTATCGGTATACCGAATAGAAGTCTCAGTCTCATCGGTATAAGTCTATACCTCATATCTGTCTCATGAAGTACTGTATCGGTAACAGTCGCACATACGCAATACGCAATTTCATCATACGCTATTGAAATGAACCGGTGCTTGTTAGCTCAATCCGATCCGTTGCTTGTTTCTGTACTGTCCATAATGAGTGAAAGCAAGAAAAACTCAATAGCTAACGAGCAAGCTAGAAACCGGATTGGAAGTAAGAAGTGAAATCAGTCTATAGTGAGTATCGCTATCAGCAATCAAATCATCAGTCAGACTTTAGATACGAGATTGATTTTCATAAACTTACGATTTGATGTTCTTTCTTGTTGATTCTTCCCCGGATTCCTAAGTGGGAAAGTGAGGAGATCGCGCATCGGCTCTGAGATATTCCTTTTCCATTTTTCCGCTCCCTCTAAAGTCAAGAAGAAGCTGAATTCGTTATCGGAGTATCCTCAGGCAACTAGCCTGAGCATGCTCTCTAACATCACATACGATATTCTTGGTCTGGCTTTTTTAACTCCTTATGGGAGTGTCTCTTCCGAGTATTTTCTCACTTGGTTTCCTAAGTCAGACATTCAAATCAAGGAAAGCGAATGAATGAGTTGTTCATTCCTTCTTTGAATCAGTTCGTTCGGGAGGGTGTGTTAGTGCCAGTACGGGGTGTGGTACAGGTTCTCATTTCCTGGTTTGGAATAAAGTTATACACCTACCAAATATGCCTTAACTATGGAATTCCTTTAGTAATTATTCTCGTAGTGGAAAGCGTGGGAAGTAAACAAACCATGGGAAGCAACCTAGTGTTTCTATTCTAGTTTTATTGATAACCTGCCCGCGAGGTAAGATTTTTTTTCTAGCCGGAATATATAATCGTGCAAAGCTTTTTATCGACCTAGATTCTTTACTTTACTCCCGGGGTCAATTAGTCAATCGGTAGTCCTCCAATTGCTTATCGAAAGCCCGTTTCTAATAAATAGATTATGCCACTCGTATTGCCACGGATTGACAAAAGAGACTTTGATTTGAGACAACAAAGCCGATAGCGAGAAGAGGGACTCTGAAACCAATAATTTCGCTGGATCTAAGAAGAACGTAGCACAGAAAACCGGACTCACCAAGGACGGCGAATGGAATCTCAAGTAGGTAGGATTCGAACCTACGACCAGTCAGTTAACAGCCGACCACTCTACCACTGAGCTACTGAGCTTAGGCCCAACCTTCTTTTAAATCCCCACAGTTCTCGGGCGATATAGGATTTCCCCATGTTTTCGGGACAGGGGGGCTACCCATATATATATAGTTTAAAGTAGAGGGGGGAAGGCCCGCGTAAAGCAGTTGTAGCAACTCCGGAAAAAAGAGATCTCTCTCAATGGAAGCAATCTTGCTCAGTTTAGGGCGTAGGTAGGGGGAGAATTGGGTTCGACTCCCTTCACCCCGGTGTGGCGAAAAAGACGGATTTCCCTCAGGGATTTTTGGGTGTTAGCATGTTAGCACTTTCCCAGTTTGGCAAGCAGGTCTCATTTCGAAGGTTGCTGCCTTCTTGTGGCTGGCTCTTCAGGCTAAGGTGCTCACTTGTGACAGATTTACTAGACGATTAGGGGTTCAGACTTGCTGCTACTTGTGCGGCAAGGAAGATAAAACATTGAAAAGTCAGAGAATCGGTAAACTAGGAGAATACGCCCTTTGATGCCCATCCCCTACTCCTCGTCCTGTGAAAGCATTCGAAGAAGAATGTCAACTTGGCTCTGAGTCAATATCGGATGAATCTATTTGACGATAACGATTTTTAGTATATAACAAACCTCTTTCCGTTGGTCTTTCAATCAAAGAAAGGGATCGATGAACTTAGGAAAAGCCTTCATAAAGAATCTCAGTTCCCAGGCTATTAATGAAGAGGAGAAGCAAAATCGATCATAACAGCACTTCCTATAGTTGAATTGGAATCAAGGGATGTGGAATCGACGGATTCTTTGACTCAGGCTTCAGGGGGAGGACTAATCAGAGCTTAGTAGAAAGACTAATGGGCGAAGCGCTTAGTTGTTAGTTGAAAGAAACTGGGCCTAACACCATAGAAGGAGGATTGCTTATATAATATAACCCATACGTAGACGAAAGTAGCATTCAGGCATCGGTGAAAGCGCTAAGCGAAAAAAGTGAAAAAGCTTTGAAGCCGATCGAACACAACGAGAGTAGCGAATTAGCGGGTGATCTTATACCTGATCTATCTACCATATTGATGTATTAGAGAGACCGAGTTCCTACGAGGGAAGAAAAGATTCACCAGCTCTATCGATTATCAAATCCCTGTACCTTTGTGAAAGACATCGCATGAAATAGCTTACACGGAAAGGAGCTTGGTACAAGCTCAGATTCAAAATAGAAGTTCCTGAGCTAGAAGGAATGGGATCAGGGGTGGGTAATAGACTGACTGCCAAGGAGCGGAGCAGCTCGACCTTATGAACTTTATTTGCTGAGAAGCATCTAGTGTTCGTGCTATGCTTATCAAGCAGGTACCAGACAAGAAGTTAAGAGCTGGCTAACTATAGACAGGAAGTGACTCCCAGCTGTGCTTCTAGCTTTCTTAACAGCCATTGAAAGATCCTCCCCCAAGAAAGAGATCCAATATGGTCAATCCAGCTTATAGAAGAGTGGAACGAGCTTACAAGCAAGTAACTTCACTTCAAAGCAGGTTCCAAGTCCAAGGAAGTGGTTTGACTTGAAAGGTAGTGGATCGACTTCTTCTTATCTGGTATTTCCGGTAAGAGCTAGCCAACTCGGAAAAGAAGGAGTAGCTAATGCTAATTAGAATAGGCTGTGGCACTTTCTCAAAGGGAATGATTGGACAAATATACCAAGAATATCTGTTTTGCGCAGAATCGGTACCAGTGCCAGTCAAGGAAGATGATGCTATCACCTTCCTTAACTTCGAAAAAGAAAGAAGAGGCATCCCTCATCTCGTTCTATCATATCTCCTGGCGAAATATCCCATCCTTACTAACTTAGCAGGTTAGCTCGTGGGACTGACTTGAAGCCTTTCTCTCCCTAACCGGATTCTGCTTGAACTGAGAATTCAATATCCCATGGGGCTCCATACAACGAGGAGGTTGGAAAAAGGCTAACTATAGCGCTAAATAGAAGGAAATGAAACATTCTATTATCTTTTCCTTGAGGTGTGTGACCATTGTCCTAGTTGAGTGAGGAGGGCTTGAAAGGTTAGAATTCAGCTAAATATAGGAATGCCTCGACTAAAATGGGGGACTTGCACATCAGATGTTGAAAAGAGCGGATCTTCCTTATGCAGCTCTGACTCCTTAGAAGAGCTTAGTGTGAAACTAAGGATAAGGAAGGTTGAAACCACTAAGGTACCTCGCTCATTAGTCACTTCCCCTACATGGTCAACTCTTGCCGGGTTAATGTATTTGAATGAATCATATATTCATTATTACGCGTAGAGATACCTATTTCTAGTGGTTTGTTCCTGCATCAATAGTAGCTTGAAGCTATAGTTTAAGAGAAGTGACAAGATCATCAAAAAGGGAGGCACTCAAGCTTGACTATACGATTGGTAGGAAAGATTTTAGACTTGAGCATATGCCTTCTTCCTCTATGGATAGGGCGACGTGACACGCAATGGATCGGTTAGAAAGGAGAATAAATTGATCACATGTCCCCTTCTCAACAACCTTTCCCGCATAAGTAGATAGAGTCGATTTCCTATCCTTGGTCAACCTAAGGCTTTTCTTCTCTCTATATTTAGTTACCGACCCGAGCCTATGCGAATAGAGCCTACACTGGCTCTAGGCCAAAGCAATGAAAAGGCGAACGGTCTATATGGTAATATAATATTTGAAGGTCCATGAGAGAAAGCCTAGCCCTATCTTAACCTTATGATCCTAGTTGGCTCGAGTCAGGCGGAGGCAGGCTACTTCTTAGCAATCTCCAGATACCAGCTGCCATTGAAACAAAAGGAAAGAACTTGCATGTGACTGATATATTGTAGACCATATCTAACTGTCTAACTATAATAAACCATGAACACGTATCAACACAGACACCATCTTCGTAGCACTATATGAATCAGTCCAGTCTGAAGTGCTAAAACCATATTATTTCTTTGGTAAAGGAGTAACTATACTGAACCCGCCATGCGCAGCTCTCTTGTCATACTGCCACGGCCTCTCCACCACGTCACACATCTCTTCACCTTTATAGAATATCCCAATAGAGAACGGCACCAGAACTTGCTTAGTAACTTGAATCTCTCCTTGTTGATTCAGCCTCGTATGGATGAGGGTGTTTTGTTGTCTTCAAGTTTAGTTGCTCCACCAATGTGTTGGAAGCTACTTTAGTACAACTCTCTCCATTTAGAATGTCACCACACACCTTTCCGCCAGCGGTACATCTAGTATCGAACATGTTACCACGCTGATCATCATCCACCTCAAGCAATTCTCCCTCATCAGCATAAACTACATTCTCTTCTTTCAAACACTCATTTTCCTCATCTTCTATTACTGCTTCAACTTCACCCGTCACTCGTGTCGTGTAGTGTAGCAAGACTAACTGAAGATATATAGAGTATTAATTCATTTAGATATGATTAGATATTATTCCATTGAGCAAATATTCCGTGATTGTATGTTAATGGATTGCGATATTCTCGGGATCACAATAATCCGAAGATATCAGCGTCCCCGATGTTGTATATATGTACAGTAGATGAATGAAAATATTTGAGAGTTTTTCCCTTCATTTTCATTATGGACTCCTAGGTTCTGAATCCACCTACAAGCCGTGAGGATCAAAGACTGAGAGAGAGATGGCGGGTGAGAACAAAAACGCGAGTCCAGACGTAAGTTCTCCCTACTTTCTTCATGCATCCGACAACCCAGGACAAGTTTATGTCAGTGAGTTGCTTAACGAGACGAACTACTCGGAATGGGTCAACGATATGACCAATGCGCTGCTGGCCAAAAATCAGATTGGGTTCGTAGATGGAACCATGCAACAGCCGAAAGCCGACTCTGCTGATCTTTCACATTGGATCAGATGTGATGCTATGGTGAAAGGGTGGCTCAAGAGTGGTATGGATAAGGAGATAAGGAAAAGCATCCGATATGCTAAGACGGCAAGGGAAATATGGATGGACCTTAGTGATCGTTTTGGACAAGGAAGTGCGCCGCGGGCATATGAGATCCGGCGAGACATCGCATACCTACGGCAGAACAAACAACCCGTAGCAGTCTACTATACCAAGCTCAAGGCGTTTTGGGATGAGGCACGACAAATAACTCCTCCCCCAAGATGCGCTTGCGGTAAGTGCACATGCGGAATTGAAAAGCAGATCGAAGAAAGCAGGGCTATGTAGATGAGGGGATCAGCTCTATGATTTTCCTTATTTGATAGGGGCTAGATGAAGAATTCGGCACAGTGAAAACTCACATACTGAGTACGAAGCCCTTGATGAGTCTGGGGGCGGCCTATCATCTCGTCTCAGAGGATGAGAAAGAGAGACATATATCCATTATGCAGAGAGCCAATCCAGAAGCTTTATTTGATAGGGGCGTTTCAGGCTTTATTTGATAGGGGGCGAGCGCTTATTAGTCTAGGGCGAGAGGGTTCGATGATCGGAAAGACAGAAGAAAAGAAAAACCTCGATGTGGGCATTGCAGTAAGCTGGGCCACACTGAGGACAAGTGCTATGAATTGATTGGGTATCCTGCAGATTGGAAGAAGCCCAATAGAGATAAAAGAGACAGAAATGGATCGTGGGGTGATAAGCGAAGCGGGCCGAGAGCAGCGTATGTGAACACAAGCGAGAGCCCAATACCTGGACTCACAGCCATACAATATGAACGCCTAATGCAGACACTGAACGGTGAGGCCGAAGGCAAGAGAGATTCTCAAACAACTGGACAATCGAAGCAAGCAGTTGCAAATATGGCAGGTAAGTGCACAACTAACTTTGCTTTGATAAAGTGATAGATTCGGGTGCGAATGAACATATAGTTTGTGAAGATAAGCCCATGCTCAATGAAAAATGGAGTAACCATCTGCCTGTACAAATACCAAATGGCCCCTATAACTAAACTACTTTCCTGTTTGTTAAAGCCTCAGGAGATTTAGAACTACGGAATGGGTTCTTGCTCAAAGATGTTTTGAAAATACCAGATTGGAAGTGTAATTTGCTGTCAGTGGGCAGACTCACTCATGATGATGATTTTGCTGTGGTTTTTGTTAAGGACTTGTGCATAATTTTGGACCTTCGTACGAACAGAGTGCCCTATCAGATAAAGGATGGGGAAGTACTATGATGGTCTTTACATCCTGGAGTCGAGACAAGGTGGAGGAATGGCGTTGATGGTGAAGAAACCCGAGGAGTTGAAGCTATGGCATTGGAGACTTGGGCACGCCTCAGAGGAGAAAATGAAGTTAGTCAATTGTTGTTATGATAAAATGGAGTTTTGTGATTCTTGTAATAAGGCAAAGCACACTAGATTGCCCTTTGGAGACAGTTCAATAAAAAGCAGTTTTTGTTTTGATTTAATTCATTGCGATGTTTGGGGTCCGTATAGAATACCTTCAATAACAGGTCTTCAAGCCTCACTATATATAGTTTCTGACTTTAGCAGAGTAACTTGGGTATATATGATGAAACACAAGTCCGAAGTCAGTAAATTATTGATATCCTTTTTGAATATGTCAGAGACTCCATTTAATGGGAAGGTTAAGCAAATAAGAACAGATAATGGGACGGAGTTCAAGTCACTTGAGTTATTAAAGTTTTATGAAGACAAAGGGATGGATAATGATGCAAACATCTTGCGCCTACACACCGCAACAAAACGGTGTGGTTGAGCGAAAGCACAGGTACATAGTTGAGATGACACGCACGTTGAGAATACATGCGAACTTGCCAAAGGAGTTTTGGAGTGAGTTTTGGCGGCTGTACACATTATTAACAGGCTACCAACAAAGGCCACTGGGAACAAGGTGCCATTCGAGATTTTGACAGGGAAGAAGGCTCGGTATGGGCATCTCAGAACCATTGGGTGTCTAGCTTATGCACATGATTTGACCAACTCAGATAAGTTCGAGGTAAGGGGGAGAAGATCTTCATTGGCTATCCAATCGGGTTATCGAGTATTTGATATGGAGAGGAAGAAGATATGTGTATCAAGGGACGTTACCTTCTTTGAGGAAGAATTTCCCGCTTGGATCGAATGGAAGGCGAGAACTTGGGTCTTCAGTGGAGTTGGGATGAAGATAGTAGTGGGTCCGACGTCATAGGGCCAACTGGAAGAGATGGGCCTGTTGAGCAAAGTGGGCCGGATGGTGGAAACGACGAGGAAGAAATAAGGGAGAATGAGCCCAATAATGCGAGAGGAGGTAGTAGGCCGAAATGAGGGACAGAGAAGTCAACGTACAAGGGGCAAAGCATCTCAACGATTATGAGAACTTCCATCTTCGCTCTTACACGATGAGAACAGAGAGAGTGCGAGTTGCAGCACTGCACACCCCTATTAACTCAGGGGCCAACTATGTTTCAAACCACACACAGATTTTCCTCAGCTCATAAAGCCTTCATGGCTGCAATAGACCGTATACAGGAACCACGGAACTTCAAAGAAGCAGCTCAACACGAGCATTGGAGGGAAGCCCTATCAGATAAGGGGAAAAGAAGTAGAGGCACTAGAACAAAATGGGACATGGACCTTGGAGGAGCTCCCACCAGGTCGGAATGTCATAGACTCGAAATGGGTTTTTAAGGTCAAATACAAGCCTACAGGGGATCTAGACAAGTTCAAAGCGCGGTTGGTTGCGAGGGGCAGGAAGAAGGAGTGGATTATCATGAGACTTTCTCACCAGTTGCGAAATTGGTGACTGTGAGGACGTTGTTGGCTGTAGCAGTGAAACGAAACTGGTTTGTACACCAAGTGAATAATGCATTTTTGCATGGTGAGACTTGGATGAAGAAATTTACATAAAGATTCCGGAGGGATTTGCCAAGGAAGGTGATAGCAGAGTGTGCAGACTTAAAAAGTCACTGTATGGCTTAAAGCAAGCCTCTCGAAATTGGTACCAGAAGTTCGGCACTGAAAGGCATTGGCTTTGTCCAATCGAGGGCAGACCACTCGATGATGATTTTCAATCATGATTCAATGTTCATCCTTGCTCTTATCTATGTGGACGACGTGATTCTTGCTGGGACTCACATCGATAAGATCAACGAAATAAAGCGGTACCTGGACAAGGAGTTTACCATCAAGGATCTGGGACCGTTGAAGTATTTTCTTGGTGTTGAAGTGGCAAGGTCATCACGAGGGATGGTGTTGAGTCAGAGAAAGTACACCCTCGATTTGTTAAGGGAGGTAGGAATGGAGGGGTGTCGGCCATGTGAATTTCCCATGGAGCTGTAGGCTGGTAATTCCTAAGAAAGGTGGGGACAAGGAGAAAGATGAAGATGAAGGAAGCGAGGCCTTAGACTAATAGGGGAAGAAGACGCCAAAGATATCGAAGACAATAAGGATGCTGATGGTAGTAGGTACAGACAACTCATAGGGAAGTTGATGTATCTGACAGTGACCAGACCAGACATTGTATATGCTGTCAACACGTTGAGTCAGTTTTCTTCGGCGCCCAAACAAATGCATATGAATGCTGTCGAGAGAATTCTAAGTTAAAGGCTACACCTGGACAAGGTATATTGCTCAGGAGTGATGGGCCTTTAGAGCTGGAAGCTTATTGTGACTGGGGAAGATGTCCCATAAATAGGCCTTCCTCGGGTATATAGTGAAGCTTGGAGGCTCGCCCATTTCTTGGCCCACGAAGAAAGAGAGTGTGGTGTCGAGGTCTTCGGCTGAGTCTGAGTACCGGGCCATGGCTAATACAGTGAGTGAGCTGATATGGCTTAGATGGCTACTGAGAGAGCTTGGTGCGAAACAACAGAAAGCAACTGTGCTGTACTGTGACAAACAAGCGGCCTTGCATATCACCAGAAATCCAGTCTTCCATGAACGAACGAGTGGAGATGGATTGTTATTTTGTGCGTGAGCGAGTGGACTCAAAGGAAGTCATGCCAACAAAGATATGGACAAAGGAGCAACTTGCAGACATTTTCACCAAACAAGACCAGTTCGAGTATCTACGAAGCAAGTTGTATATATGTACAGTAGATGAATGAAAATATTTGAGAGTTTTTCCCACAAATTACAAACAAGTGGTCGTGAACGAACGAGCAACTATTATATTATAAGCAATACCTTTTTTATTTTATTATTATTTCTTGGCCGCATGGAACATAGATTAGCATGTAGTCATTACTACAAGTGATCTTCCATCCAGGAAAAGGAGAAGAAGTGCCATATACGGTCTTCGCGATATTATATAATATGTTTCTTTCTATTCCTCGTGAGGCACTGATTTCTCCGAAACAAGAGATCAAAGTGATTTTCCTCCTTTTTCCCAATAAGTCGACGGCATTACACCATTGGGATACTTCGGATAAACTAGAGTACATATAGGATACACCGGTGCTAAAACCTTTTCTCAAGATATCTTCCAAACTGTTGGGGTCCTTGCTCCGGATGTAGTTCCCCCGGTTTGAAACCAGTTGGTTCCGTAGTTTTAGAATTCTGCTGATCCCAAGTACTCCATCTCCATCATTGCATATGGGAATATAGAAAGTAAAGAGGAAAAGGCATGACCAGAAGAATTGTGTGAAATAAGTGAATTTATCCAGTTGAGGCATGATTGATTCATAAAAAAAAACGTATCCTCCATACAGACTGAACTCCGAAAAGCCTGTAGGATGTAGGACTAGTGTGTTTTTTGACTATACTATATATGGTGGTTTGTTGTTGACAAAAAAAGACATGGGAAAAAGATAGCTTTCTGCCCAAGTCGTCTACCTCTCAAAAAGCAAGCAAGCCTGATTTTTTCCACTCTACCAACTCGTTTTCACCCGGGGGGGGCCTTATCAAATACAAAAGGAAAACTAAAATAAGATACATCATGGATTCTCGTTTGGGTTAAGGATCCCCCTTTCCCAATCGGAAACCGATACGGTCAAGTAGTGTGCGACTGGGAGCCTATTTGCATTTAATCCCAAGAATAGCTCCCGGTTGTCCTCCATTTGGGCGAGTACTTGGTTGATGAAAATGCGCTTCTCCGGCGAAGCTTGGTATAAACGCAAATCCTCGATTATTCGGTGCAAAACATCTCTTCGAAGATTAATACGTTGGCAACCACGAAGAACAGAAGAAATGCGTCGGATCAAAAAATCTACATCAGGGGCATCAGGCCCCATAACCACCCCCCCTATGGGGATGTTTATGGGAGCGGGAGCCCCCCCAGCCCCTTCGGGAGCCATCATGTTTAGAATGGAGGAACTAAAAGCAGAAAGGAGACTGGACAACAATAGGCCTAGGAAGGGCCAGCCAAGGCTGGTAAATATGGAGCGTATCGCCCTTCCCAGTAGCATGGATTGGCATTTGACTAAAATAGGAAGAAATTCCAGTTCAAGAAGAAGACAGCTACCATAGGATAGGGCGAGTAAGAGAAGAACCAAGAAGAGAACGATCGAGATTCTGACCAACTTTTTTTTCAGTGATTTTAGCACGAATAGGACTTTTTCCATTTTGTTGTCCATAGCAACAATAATATGTATATATATTCGGAGTACCCTAAATTCTTCAGAGTCTCAAGTTTCATGTGGTTGGGGGTCTTTTTGACCAAAAAAGACATGGGAAAAGGAAAGATGCACAAACGAAAGGAGGTACGAAGAAGGAATGAGCCCACCTACGAACTATGACAAATGTTCTCATTGACCTTCACGGAACACTTTAGAAATCTCTCTTTCTCTACGCAATTCAATTGCTTGCTTGAGATCCATCATCAATCCAATCAGTTCAGTTCAGATCAGTGTATGCACGATCAGGTTGGACTTAATTGACTGAAAGTCCTAGCAATCAAACTCCATAGAAAAGGCGTAAGGTAACTCTCAGAGTTTCATCTTCTGCGGATGCTTTAGCTGCTTCAGCTGATCCTTCAGCGTCTGTTTCTGACTTCTTTGGGATTTTGAAATGAAATGAATTCATTTCCTCTTGGCTATTATTCCTTCCTGTCTCTCTTCTAGTGATCTAAGGAGGGATTTTTTTCATAGAGCTGGATGTAGCTACTTTAGGTTTCTATCAAGCTAGGCCAGCTAAGAATTGATGGTAGCTTTGTTCCTCTTACGAGCGTCTTCAAACCTAAAGCTTGACTTTAGTAACTTCATACCTCTCCATAACGGTCGAGTAACTACACGCTCCTCATACACTAATATATGAGTGGCTTAACGCTCGACTGACCTCGTACCTGCCCCTTACAGGGAGTACTTACTCGACTCTATTCAATCTAAAGACCAGCTTCACGAAAGTCAAAAGCCAAGCTAAGCTCGTGAAAGCATTCACTCTTCTTAACCTTCGCACATCACGTTGTACCTCGGGGACGGGGGCCGTAAGAAGGGGTTTAAACTACTTATTTCGATCACTGGGGGCTTCCTTACCCTTAATTAAGGGTGGGATATCGATCTTAATAAACAAACGAGAGAAAGTGCTCATACCTATTGAAGCAAAAACAGAGGAAGACGATAACGCATCGATGAAGAGAACGAATCGATCTAACCCATTTTGTGCGGGTCTCACTATTGACCGGGGCATTGTTCCTCCTGATGACATAACTCCGATTCATTCAGTCGTAATGCTCTAATGCCTTCTGTAGAGACAGTAGCTGCCTCGGCTACCAGCTGAGCAATATAATCGAAATTTCCCACTAGAACTCTTTTATCTCGTAAGCGGAGCTTTACCTTCTGACCCTACTACCCCCGCTGTTCAGCAGAAGGGGAGAAGGTAATATTCTCAAGCCATTTGAGTCGAGCCGTTGACTCCGAATCTACAGTTGCAGCCCTGGCAGCTCGCTTGAATGAAAGAAATAGAAAATCCGGTATAAACTCACTACTATCCGCATCCAGGGCATCGTAAGTAATGGAATAATAGGATATCTAATCAATCTATTGCGAAAAGCTAGCCGAAGAAAATCGTGGTGCTTACAATCCAATCTATCCTTCTATCTAATGTGTAAGGGCCCCTCTCCCAGCCTGTCTCTTCCACTTGATAAGAAACTTAGGGATAAAAGAGATATAAATTCTCGGAGGAAGAACCACCTCGCATGGACAGACAACCCCCCGGTTACATCATTTCTTGATCCGCTTGTCCACCAGCTTATTTAGTGATAGGCGTTTCGGGATTTAATAATCCTTTTTTTTTCCAGAATCGATGTCTTGCATGACCGAGAGGATGCCTCTTCCTGGAATTCCCTGGTAGAGAACTCCAGTTCTATGCCTGTAAGTGGAAGGGGACAAACCCACCCATTCTCGTGACAGAGTGAGCGATTAACCAAATCCCATTGACTCAGACTTTGTTATTTATTGTTTCTTGCTTGCGTATAGAGTGGTTATTTACTTGCTTAGTGGGAAAACTACAAGAGAGTAGGCGTGCCGGCATCCAAAATGTATATCATGTTAGAACGAATTAGGCAAAGCAAACCTTAGCTGCACAAAAAAAAGTCAGCAGTCGCTCTCCTCTCCCTCTCACTATCGATCGAGGAGGTACCTTCCGGTTGAGCTAGTGAACTTCCTTACTTTATTCGATAGGGGCGAGCAAGCAAGCCCCCATCCGAAAGATGCCTTCTGGTCCTTCGAACGAGACCACTTGTTATGAAATACCAGGGCGAGTCTCTTTTATTGGATTTGAATCGATAGCTCTCACCGTATGAAAGCGATAGCGGCCCAATCTCCCGGTCTAAATCTTACCGATCTCGACGGAGAAGCTAAGAAGCTATACAAAAAGCTTGCCCCAGAGGCTTCCCGGGATACAAGAAGCATAGTCTGAAGATTCCAATGCACGGAAATGGGCTCTGAACGAATCTAGCTATCTGGAGCCCTCTTATTTCAGGAGAAGATGGAGCCGCTAGCCCTACTTTATACAGCCGGGCGGGGTCCCCTCCAGCCGAACTAGCTGTGCACTACCTTCAGAATGTGCCATTTTGTCTCACTCTCTTCTTCAGGGGCGGAAGTCCCGAAAAAAGAAAGATAGATGTTTGCAGAGGTTTTTCCATTAGAGTGATGAGCCAGGTTTGCCTATCTATTCGCTATCCATTATTCGTTTAGCGCAAGAGGTCTAGAAAGTGGGTTTAGGAATCCCTACACTACGATATTCTGTTAATGAAGAAACAGTAGTTGTATTTATTTAAGATTCTATTTATAGCAATTCTACTCGGTAAACTCTATTTAGATTTAGTCTATCGAAGAAAAAAGAAGAAAGCGGCTCAACCTCGCGGGTAAGAAGCAAAGCGGAGGACAGCGCTAAGTGAGTAAACTGCCCAGCCCCTGCAGAAAGGGGGAGTTCATCCAACTAAAACGGCAGTGGCTAACAAGCGAGCAAGTAAAACTACCTCTTTCACTCACACAAGATATAACCAAAATATATGAACCTGCGGGAAAGTGCCCGACTAGCACAAGGGCGAAAGCAGCTAACGCATGAAAAACACATTCAAGTCAAGAGGGACCGGTGTCTCGTAGGTGAACACCCTTGGTGCGGGGCTCGCCTCTCTCCTAATCAAAACAAGGATCTCTATTCCGCGCAGAGGAAGAAGTTCAATGAATGGAGATGAAGAGAAGAGAAATCTACCTAGCGTATCCGGTCGATATTACAGAGAATGCTATAAACCTTAAAAGAGAGATGCCAAAGCTAAGGTAGTTTACTTGCTTAGTGTGAAACGCTAAGGATGGGCGACTAACTTAACTGAAAGTGAAAGAAGTAGTGGGAGTAAGAAAGGGTTTAGTGAATGAAATTTCCTTCAAACCTGTCAGTGTGAAATCAAGCTTCATAGTCAAAGTCAAACGGTGAAACGAAATCTCTTTCATACAAATCTTATCTTATGCTTGCCCGAGGGGAGCTGATATACCTGGACCACGTCGAGACTCTCTTTCGCCTAGGTCCGGAATGGAATGCTTGATTTGACTTCGTAACCTTTACGGGTCAGTCTATCTATACGGGTCAGCTTACCGATCACTCTATGTGAATTCTTCACTCCTCCCGCCTATTCCTATACTATCACACTTGCAGGGCTTCCAAGCCCCACAGCTTCTTCTTTCGGTTTAGTTAGCGAACTTCCCCCATTCATCCGTTAGTTCTTTCTTGCTTGCATTCTATCTTTCTTTGTATTTCCAAGCCTATCAAAGTCATATCCCAGCAGAAAGCTATATTATGACTGATAAATCAACGTTTCACGATTCATCATATGGAGAATCCTACAGAATGGATGAGTACTGATCTCTTTGGACAGCACAGCATAAGGCTAACAAGTAAAGGGCCTTACGCCTTTTGTTAGCTTCGGCAGCCTCGGAAGACAATAAGGTCTGCGCTTGGGGTTATCAATCAATAAAGTGTGAGATTCTCCCTAATCAGACTACCTTCTTTTCATTTTCGATCTTAGGCGATCTAAGGTTAGCGGCTCTACGACCTCGCAAGGCGCTACTGTACTTTGGGCCTGCCGCTTTCTCAATCCTAGAATGGAGACTGTCGTTGAATAGATACCATCAGAGATTCTATTCTATTTGATGCTCGCTACCTTACCTATGCAATTTGCTTGCTTGAGACCAATCATCAACCCAATCCAATCTGTTTAGTTCCATTAATCTTAGTACTCCCATATTAAGAAGAAGAGGCAAAAACCAGGTTTTAGAGAGGGATGGATCATGCCCGAAAGCAGGTTGCCCGAAGGTCGCGGAACAGAACTGATCTGTCCAGTCACTGAATCCCATTTCTATTCAGCCTAGTCCTTTGAACCCGGTTAGCCACCGGGATTTTCCTTTCCCATAGACAGACGACCTTTCTCCCGGAGTACAGTATTCATCAATGCTATTCTTGCGCTGCTTAGACCGCTTGGGTTATTGATTCTGACTTCCGAGGAGAGGACTTGTTTTGCCTGCTCTGTCTTTCATTTGATGGTAGGTCAGGAAGAGGAAGGAGGTCCTGTTCCTGTTCCTGGTCCTGGTCCTGTGTCTGAGTGTAATGTCTTTTCCGCC